CTCTGATCTCAGCTGATAACAGCTTTAACTGCCAGACTCTGGGAGAGTGCAGAAGGAATCGGATGTGGTTTCCTTAACCTCGTGCCTGCAACCCAGCTCTGCCTGAATTCTAAGCCTGAGGTCAAAAAACAAAAAGCCTAGATTCCCTTACTCTATCATCTTGTTCCAGATGGCCTACAGGGTCTTGAGCACCCCCTGCCTTTGCTCCTCTGTTGTAAAAGAAGACCTGTCCACACAGCACTTAGGACCCCTTGGGGCCAGGCAGGGTACCGTGGAGCCCTGGCTACAAAGAGGAGCCAGAGTGAACTGGACTGATTCAACCTTACTATTTAAGTCTTCAAGAGTCAGTAAACCCCCATGACCCATCCCTGTCCTGCCCACTCTTCTAACTGTTTAATCACTGACACAAAGCAGGGAACAGCTACCCTGTGCCAGACACTATTCTAAATTCTGGGAACGCATCAGGGAAAAGCATAGGAAACGCTGCCTGTCTGGTAAAACTGAAGTTCTCATTGGGTGAGGTGAGTTAGAGCCTATATGTAAGAGCCAGTAAAATACCAGAGAGAGGAGCTGGGCCATGAGTTAAAAGTAGGTCCTGTGGCAGATGGTGTCTGAGCAGATCCTTTAGGCTAAGAAGGTGATGCTTAAGTGGATAAGCAAGGACCAAGTCTAGGCTGAAGGAGTGACAGACAGCCTGGAGGCCCCAGGGCAGGTGAGAGCTTGACTTGCCAAAGGAAACAAAGAGAACTGGGGTCTGCAACACAATGGTGGGGGGAAGAAATATGCCAGGAGCAGTCCCTGAGATTGTCCCTATGGCCACTTCAGGTGAGACTCGGGACTTCCACTAAGTGTAATGGGAAGATCCCGGAAGAATTAAACCCAGGAAAGCCGGCAACCTTGGTAAGCTGGCTCCCTAAGTCTGGTTTTCTCTCTCCATCCTATTCTTCTCAGCCCTTCCTTTATTTTTCAACTATTTCTTGGTCTACCTCATGAAAGTAATACAACTACCAGAAGCAGTTCAAACCTTTCATTCCTATCAAAACCTAAAGCTAACATGAGCTTTAAATGAAAAACACATTTTGGAAAGTTGTTTTCTTTTTTTAAAGAAAATTTCTCCCAAATATAAATTATACTAAAAAGCAGTGGTTAAAATAAAATTAAAAAGAAAAAAAGGAAACTCTTCCCTGGGGACACACTGGTACTGAACAACATTATAAATGTAGTTTTCATGGCCTGTAGAAATCCCCTGGGCCTGTGATCGGAGGGAAAGGCACCAATCTGTGCCCGCTTCCTGTAGCCAAGACCATGCAGTGACCCAAGGCTGCGGCTCCAGAGGAGAACAACAGGGTAGAGCGTGAAGTGGCCTCTTTCCAGGACAGAAGCACAACAGCCACACAGAATCCCTGAGCTGGTGCTCAGAGCACAGGGCCTTTGGGGAGTAAGAGGTGGGATCCCCCAGACCTAGGATTTTTAAGCCCATGTGCCTGCCCCCCCCCACAATCAATATGGATAACTCCATTTAATACTTTCAGATCATGGTTGAGCAGGTAACTGAAACCACAGAAAGAAAAACCACAAATAAGGGGGACTACTGTATCCCAGGCTTGTCTTTGCATGAAACAGCAGGCATTTTTCCATATCCTAAACATAAATAACCTAAAGGCATGTAATACCAAATGCTCCTTTTCAGAATGCAACCCCTCCCCTCTTCTTGGCAATTCAGGTTTATCTTGTCTACAAGGACTGATTAAAAAATACAGTGAATGCTTCAGCTTTAAAAATTTATTACAGTAAAATTCAGGGTACCATTAATGCCCCTTGAAATATTCCCCTTCATTTCAAATGCAATTAGTTCACCAATCTGGTCACTTTCTGAAGCAGTGCTGCAAGCTGTGATAAAAAAATATGGTGCATGCTACTGAGAATCTTCCAAAAGAAAGGCAGGCTCATAAAAAAATTTACAATGTGTCCTCATCTACCTTACTCACCAGAACTGGCACTGTGAGACTTCTGGCTCTTCTCCACAGTCAAAATGACCATGAAACGTAAAGATTTTGAACTGATTCAGGCCACTGTGGCAGCCAAGATAATGTGACTAAAGATGTTCACAGAAGAGGAGTTAAGTGGCAAGAACAAAGGGACACGAGGAGTATTTTGAGGGAGATGCGTGGCAATATGTCTTTAATTATAATGAATTTTTTAAAATCCAACATTCACCATATTCTTAGATCACTCCTCACAGCTTGGAAACTGTCCCCAAGGCTCACCAGAAGCCTCTGAGCAGTTCCCATCTGTGACCTGTGAAACTGTCTCCCTCTTCCTCAGATTCTGTGCTGTGCTCTCCCTAAGGAAGGCCTGTCTGGAATTCCCAAGGTGAGAGGGAACCCCTGGCAGACTGACCGCAAGTATGACCACCATTACACTCATTTTTTTAAAAAAACTTTTTGTTTATCCTTTCCTTTTTAAAAAAATTTTATTGCATGACGGTACAAGTTTTATTATGGTACAAGTATTTAATATGACATCTTAACTAGAAGGACCATGTGGCATAGTGGACCCCTACACTTTTCACCCTGCTTAACTGAAACATGATAAAAGTTTTCCCGTTTTCCTCTCCTCAGGGAACTTGGCAATCACCATTCTACTGTCTGAACCTACAGGGCTGAATATTTTACACAGTTTATATAAGTGGAATCCTGGGCTATTTGTATGACTGTCTTATTTTGCTTATGTATCTTCAATATAACAGGATTTCCTTCTTTTTTAGGACTAATAGTTCACTCTATGCATATACCACATTTTTTTTACTCAATCATGAAATTTAGGTTGTTTCCATATCTTGGCTGTAAGTTAGATCACATTGACTTGACATAAAACTAGGTTTCCAAGATGGTAGCCTTTGTCTACTTCAGAATGCAGAACCACTGACAACTACCATAAACTTGCAATCCTAGACCATTATCCTGAATATTGACCTCATGGTCCTGCCAATCATCACTGCCATTTTTTAAAAATCAATCCACGTTTGTAGTATATAATAGTTACATTCCTCATGGGGAGCTGCCACATGTACATAGCACATCTTATTCTTTTTTTTTTTATCCTCTTTTTCTTCCTCCTCTCCTCTATTTCTTGGTCCCTTTCTCCTTTGCAAAAGATTTATCTCCTATTTCCTATTAATCTATCTTTTGTTTTACTCTTTATTTATAATTTGGGTTTCTCACATAAGAGAAACTGATGTTTAAGCTTGTGTGATTTATTTCATTTAGCATCATGGTCTCAAGGTACATCTATTTTCCTACAAATGACTCAAACTTCTTTATTTCAGATTATTTAACCTTCTTTATATCAGAGTAGTATCCCATTGCATACAAATACATTTTCTTTATCCATTCATCTGTTGATGGGTATATAGGTTGCTTCCAAGATTTAGCTATTATGACTTATTCTACTATAAACATGGGCATATATGTATCACTATAATACGAACCTTTTAACTCTTGGGAAAATACCTAGAAGGGGAATAGTTGGGTCAAATGGAACTTCTGTTTTAAGTTTTTTGAGGAATTTCCGTATTCATTGTACTAGTTCACTCTCCCACCAACAGTGTAGAAGGGCTCCTTTTCCTCTGCAATCTCACCACCATTTGCTATTATTAAATTTCTTGATATTCATTCTTTTTAGAGTAAGATGGAATCTCAGTGTTGCTTTGATTTGCATTTCTCTAATGGCCAGCAATGTTGAACATCTCTTCATGTATTTCTTGGCCGTGCCTCTTTTATGGGGCCCGAGGCCTGGGTCTGTCCTCCTACTGTGCCATTCTTTGCCTGCATGACAAGAGCTCCGCTCCAGGGCAGATGCTGCACAACTGCTCTGCACCTCTGGGCTCAGCGGCAGACTGTCCACCCTTGCTCTGCCCATGGTGCCTCTTCTGCTGGTGTCAGGAGCCCGAGGATTCCTTCCTTCCACTCCTTTCCCTTCCTCCATTTCTCTCTGGCTTCAGAACTAGACTTGTTTTTCACAGGCTCTTTGGGATCTGGTTCCTGCTCCCTTGTCATGACTGTTCTCTCTTCTTCTTCCTCTTCCTGTTCCTCCTCTTCATCTTTCTCCTCCTTCCCACCATGGCCTAGTCATACTGAACCACAAATGTAGACTTTCTCAAAGTCACAATATTCCTTCCTCTTTCCTGGAATGGTTTTGTTTCCTCCTTTGATTGATTAAATCCTACTTATCCTTCAAAACCCAGCCCCGCTACCACCTCCTTCAAAAAAACTCTCTGATTCCTCTACGCTGAGTTACACAATATCTTCTTCCACCTCTCTTCTAGCCCTTTTGCCATACTTTGTAGGCATCTGTCTATGGCCCAGAATCCCTACTGAGTTGTACTCTTTGAAGATAATTTCTCATATGCCTGGGCACCTTGTCCTTGGCTAGGACTCAGTGTCCTCAGTGGATGGACAGATGTGTGCTCCAACCAACTTAATGGGTTTAAACTAGTGAGCTCCAGCGATGCTGGTTACATGGAGCTTGTACATTTCAGCCTCATCTCAGGATTGCTGCAAGTACCTTATTGACTCCTGGTTGAAGCTGGATTTGGCTATGAGTACCAGTTCTACTCCCCAGAATTCCTTGGAATTCTCAGGTGTCAAGGAGAAGAGAAGCACAAAGTGATTTGTGCTCCCTTGCCTGTGCTCATCGGTTGTTCCATCATCCTTTCTGCCACTTCAACATCGCCCCTTCAACATCTTCCCTTCTGAGACTAAACAGATGAAAGTTTCCAGACAGCCCTGTAAACCAGGAACTATAAAAGCTCACAATAAACAGCTCAAAACCTTAGAGCTTGAGGAGTGGGAAGATTTTTGACAGAAGGTGAGATACATGGCATATGTTTCAGGAAAGGACAGAGTTCAAGCCTTCCCTGCCCTCCCAACTTCCCGCAGCCCCAAAAAGAGTTCAGGGCCCCACATCCCACCGGGCCTCAGTCCTGCTCACATTCTCACCTCCCACCTCCAGTGGGCGCTGCTGAGTTAATGGCCTGAACCATGTCAGTGGTGAGAGCATCCAGTAGGCTGGTAATAAATTCCATTTTCTTCCCTTCTGGACAGCCTAAAAGAGAAAATGAGATTGGAAGGCAAATGCCAAGTAAATGATTAAGTAAATAGCTTTTCAACGACCATCTTTTCCCAGACTTAGTGAAGTCCTTGTCCAGCCAAAGGGTTTACGCTCAGATGATTCTGACAGCCTCCCCCATCCCTCTCTCCTCATAGCCCACGAGGGATCACTGAGCCAATGGGACAGTAATGCTTTCAATTTGCTTCCATTGCACCAATTTTTGCTGGATACCACAACTCATGGGCTAAGTGAAATTCAAAGGAGACATTAAGGTCCTTATCCTTGTGAAATTTGCATTATTCTGGGCTGATGACTCAAGATAGTGACCAGCCAGTCATCCTAGAGGGAGGAAAATGCTGCTCCAGGGGTGAGAAGCAGATGCAGAGGGAGCACATGGTAGGGGTGGTTGCTGGGATCCTCACTAGTCCAGGGTGACTCAGATCATCAATATATCTACACAAGAACCTCCTCTTATTTTCACTTCACCCTCATTTAGATGAGATCATAACTAGCATTTCTCTAATAAAACTCCCACATGCTTTGTGCCTCTTCTTTTCGGTGTACTATTCCAGCAACACCTCAAGCACAGGCAAACCTTCTCCATGCTCCTCCCTCACCCCATCCTACATTCCCATCCACTGAGGGGATGGCTACCAGGCGGTGCACTGACCTCATGATTCCAATTCTGTGACAGGGTAATTTCTACCAATGTCACGTGGACAGCACTGACTTTCACGGCTCTCTGCTTTGTTTTCATGTTGGAGTCCTAATGGTTCATGGGAAGAAGGTGGCCCCAATTCCCACCAATATGGACCTGACTCTGTGCTGAGGAGCCCACAGGATTCGAAGGCACTGATATTTAGTAGTTATTGTAACTCACAGGTAGAGTTCATTAGGAATAAGGGGAACCCAGCACTGCAGTTATTTTCAGGTCCTGGGCCCCTGGGTCTCCTGTCACTCCCACCCCATTCCTGGCCCCCATGGCCATTCTATGTCACCACAAAAATATTCTTGCAAGACAAGTTTAAGACATTTCCCAGACCCCTGAGAACACACCCTCCCTCTAAGTTGTCTTTTCTTCATAACCCTGGAAAAAATGGTTCACAGTCCCTGAAACATTGCCTCAGTCACACTGGGATTGAGAATGGATTACAAAATTATAAGGATAGGATTTTAACTCAACGACCATATCCTACAGATAGACACAAGACCAAGGAGAAGCAATGTTCTTAGTTAGGGACAAACCCCAGATCAGGATACAGAGTCCATAGCTGTGGCACCCCACTGCTGTGATGCACCTGTCCAGCACCCCCACTGCATACTGTACATGGAGAGAGACCCAAAGAGGAGCTGCAGCTTCTGCACAATAATGGGACACAAGGTAGCGTCTCCCACCTGGAAGCTCCCTGTCCTTGAAGGGATCCTCCACCTCCGTGCTCTTGGCTCTGGCATCACTCTCGCAGCTGGGCATCACATAGCTGGGAAGAGAGAGACACAGGGGCTGGGAGGGGCTGGAACTGAGACTCCTGCAGCCACTTCTGCCCAGCAATGATCTACATTGTCATTAAAACCCAGAGTCCTCGGGGTTCATAGCAAAATAGTCCCTGTACTGTCCAGCAGCTAAGAGGCAGTCCAGCAGAAATGTGCCTCCTGAGACATGTCCAGGCACATTATTTTAACCACTGAAGCCTAACGACAATGTCACTTTCGATCTCCACACGGGAACTTTTTTGGTCCATGGAATCTACTAACTCAAGCTGCACAGCAATCTTCTCATCCAGAAATTGAGGTTCAGAGAAGTTACTCTTCCAAGGAAAACAGATAGGATGGGACAGATCTATGATCAGATTCCAGATCCTGGGTCATTCTACCAGAACCTTAACTGCTCATGAATGGAAAAGTTGACTTTTCCCTGTGACTTGACTCTAACTAAGCCAGGGAAATAAAGCTGAGAAATGCCAAGATAAACTATAAGTTGGTCCGCTTGTCCCAGGACAGGCCTGAGTGGGCTTACCGTGTGGAGGTCCCAGGAAGTGGGCGCCCCGTGTCCACCAGAACACACCAGCAGTAGCCAGTGGACTGGTGGCACTGCACTGGCTTGTAGAGCCCCCCAGGGGCACATTCGGGGATGACAATACCCTCACGGGGATTCTGCCGGGCCTCTTCCAGGGCGCTCTGCCTTTCCTGGTCACATGAGTGCACTTTCTCTGTAAGAGAAGATGCAGCCTCTGGTGACTATCACTCCTGTGACTTGTCATTCCCACCTTCTATGCCAGTATCCAAAGGCAAGGACCAGGGCAAGGACCAGGCATTGCCCCAAGGAACCGATGGCTTGCTAGATGAATCATCAACGACAGCTGTGTCTTGCATGCCAGCCAAGGGTGAGCGGCTAGAGGCCCAGAGCCTCCCTGTGGCCATATCCACTGCCAGGGCTCATCAGCATTCTCCACAAATGGACTCTGCTGCAGCCACAAACCAGCCCAGAGCAGCAGTGTGCACCAGGGCTTGAATTTCTTCTCTGTTTTCAGAGTGGCTCCTCCTCTAGGAGAAGCCAGCATAGGAGCCAGCTGTGCTGTGAGCTGGTGCAACAAAGACCGTGTATGTAGACGCTCCCAGGCCCAGACACAACAAGACACAGCCATGGCCACCATGTGGGGCATGGTTGGCACCCAACAGGAGCAGAAACAAAGGCCCAGCCCAGCTCCTTCCCACGCTCCAACACAGCAGGGCAAAGTAGGCTGATGGACTTAAAGAGATCACATGAGGCTGCTTCCAAGCAACAGGAGAGAAAACCAGCCTAGCTGGAAGGTGTGTGTATTCCACTGCTTTGGGAAAATATGAATGCATCTGAACAGCTAAAGCAGGTCTTCTGGAGTCAGTGGAGGAGGGTTTGTGCCAGCAGGGCCACCTACAGGGAAACTTACACCACTGAGCTATTTTATCCAGCCAAGTAGTCTGGCTCCCCTTTTTGTCTTTTGTTTGTTTGTTTGTTTGTTTATGCTTCAATTAAGAAACAATAAATAGTGTTACATTTCTTTCCCTATGATAAATGAAGTTTTAAAAGGAAATTTGAAAAATCCATAATCCCATCAATGTAAACCGTCTACTTTTTAAACTCTTCCACCAGGCACACAGATACATGCATGGATTTAGACACATACCCATCTATTCTTTCTTTACAAAACAAGGGATCACATTGTGAGCTATTACTAGTACTTTAGTCTTGATTAATTCATTTATTTACTTACTGTATCAGGATTTTTCTTACGAACACTAGTCTATAATTTTCCTCTTGAACTTACATGGGAACAGTTTCTGTGATATGTATAAAATGCTACTCTTAAAACAGCCGTGTGGTATCGGGAACCTGGAGAACCATCTTACTCACTAAACACCATGAAAATGGTCAAAATAACAGAAACTCAATTCCACTCAAAAGGACACATTTCTAGGGAAAGCACCAACAAACCATAGGTATACATAGAGCCATCATAGAACATAACGTCATCTTAGAGAAAATAATTCAGATGGAAGAAAAATCATTCCTTATCTCACTGCTAAGAAAAGTATGATGAGCAACAGCCCAGAGACTTTCATTGCAAAGTAAGAGAAATATTTCCTCAGGGACCCAAAAATATCTGAGGACTAAGAGGCAGGTATATACAACATATCTGTGCTACTGAAATGTAATGTGGAATATTGTTTTCATAATGCAAATGCAAGAAAGCTAAAGACAATCACCTTGTCTAGAAGAAACAGAGCCGCTGAACATTGGACTAAAGATGCACCCTCCCAGTTGCAAATGCCACAAAACAGCATCTAGAGACAACTTTGGGATGGATTGAAACTGATAGTCAGAGGGACTTGGGAAATCTGGCGTAAAGACCCAGAACTTTGACTTCAACCCCTGGCAGGGGAAGATGCCAAGTCAACTTCAAGAGGATTATAGATGAGGTTTGCAATGGTTCCCCCAACTCTAATTTGGTAGTTTTATTTTCCTGCCTCGTGTTTCATGCCATGAAAGAGGCAATAGAGGAGGAAAAGCAAAGGAAAACAGTGTTTTACTGGCACCACGTTTGTGTAACAACCTCTGACAGATGCTTTAAATTAAGGCTCTCCAGCCAACCTCTTCGAGTCATAAATCAGACCAAAGCCAGATGCGAGGTATGGAGGAGGCCTCTCCCCTCCCCTCCAGTGAATGAACCTGACTTCACAGCACCGAGAGTGCTCCAGCTCACGGAAACGTGGACAGCGGCCGGCCGTGTCGGAAGAGTGTGGAACACGGTTTGGGCCCTGTTGATGGATTTATGAAAGTCCTCGAAGGCTGCTCAGAAATGTTCACAGTCAGCTTCTGTGAGGTTCTATGGAGAATTAAGTCATAAAAAGGATAAAGTTCACTAATCTGGGAAAATGGGGGATAGCATGGAATTAAACAGAAGTCTATAAATGCAGAGCTTACTACTCTATTTATGATTTACCTATTCATTACTTTAATATAAGTCCCTGCAAGCCCTGGTGTCCACCAAGAAAAAGACAGGAACAGTTACGCTAGCAACATCCATTAGTGAAGAGTACACAGTTTGTCTTCTATTAAGAGAAAAAAACCCTTGAAGTCATCTTTACATATAATAACAATAAAAGCAAATATTCACTGAGTAAAATTGGCCAGGTGACAGACAAAGGGCTTTTCCTGCCTCAGGTTGATGGAGGTGTGGTGTGAGCACTAAGAAAATGACATTTTTGTAGACAAGAAAGTGGAACTTTAGAGCAATTCATGAGTTTTCCCCAGTTCCTTCAGCCAGGAAAGTTGGAGGGCTGGGCAACCCAGTAACCCAGTAACCTCGAGATCCTAGATGGCAGCACCGCTAACCATTAGCTGTAAGAGGAAAATACACTGTCTTAGTTACTTTTCTCTTGTTGTTGAGACAAAATACCTTCCACCTAAAGTGAAGCAATGGAAGGTTTATTTCTTACAGTTTTGGGGGATTTCAGTCCATATTCAGCCGGTTCCAAGTGGCATGGTGGCTTGGCTGGGCAGCCATTCATGGCCACCGCAAACAGCAAGCCCAAAAAGGGGCAAAAGATGAAAAACAGGCCTTCTTCCCACCCTTTTACTGTATTCTGGCTCCACCCCGGGCAAGTGCAACACTCACTTCACCAATCCCAGTGCTTGGCAGCAAACCAATCACAAACGCTTGATTCAGCCGTGTCCACTATTGTATGAGGTTTGAGGGGACCATGCAAATATAAACCATAGCATACACTGAGCTTTGGATGACTCCAAATCTATGTGTCCCAAACAAAGTGTGCTTAATAGAGCACAGCTTCTTCTAAACCACCACTATTTTCTCAGCTTACGCACAAGACAAAGCTTTCTCCTCAGTATTTTTCTTTTTTCCTCAGAACTCAAAAGCTTAAAACCAAATTTGTAACCTTCCTACCATTATAGAATTATAAAACAACAGCAGCCAATATCTCTCACAGTATTTACTACGTGCCTAACTCAGGATTAACTCACTTCGCATTCCCACCAGCTGTGAGGACAGGTATTGGCCTCAGACACACGGATGTAGGGACACAGACTGGCCAAGTGATTGAGTCAAGAGCAGACAGCACCAGTTGGGATTCCAGCCCAGCTGGCTGGGTTCTTTACTCTCTGCAATAACATCTTTCATTGCCATGGGCTAAACTCACTTTTATTCCAACCTGCATTTTTCTTTTACTCAGTTTCTATAGTAGATTTTATAGAATAGTCCCTGGTACTCACACCTCGGTGTCTTCACCCCGTAAAGCCCCATCCCCTCTCACTCTCACCGCCTTGGACCAACAGCCTGGCACAGTAACGATGCCGGAAGACTGGCCAAGCCCTTCAGGGCCTTACAGCCTTCGCTTCCATGGAAGCTACCCTGAGATCAGTATAGCTTCCTGGAAGAGGAGAGACAGAGTGGAAACAGAAGCAACTCCTCCTACAGACAGCACAACTGTCAGACATGTCAGACATGGAGAGGTCATCTTGGATATTCCAGCCCCACTGATCCTTCACTCAGATGAGTCCATGAGTGAATTCAGATAAAAGCGGTTAAGGAAATCTCCCAGCCAACCCACAGGCACATCAGCAAGAATAAATAACTTGTATGATAATCCAGTAACTTTGGAAGTAGTTTTTACACAACAATCAGTAACTGAGAAATATAGACTGATTTATTCTTGATCAATCTATATCTTATTTTTGTAGCTCCAATCAATCGAATTATTCCTGTAGTTCATCTCAAGAAGTCTAATGCTGATTAGGAAACACCAGAGACAGTAGACTCATCCCATACCTAATGACCCCGAAGCCACCCATCGTGGAGGCCATTGTCAGACTCAGATCTTTTCAGTCACCTCCAAAGTGAATCATAATCTAAGAGTTGGAGTGGATTTCAAGGGTCTTTTCACCATCACTGACTAAGAGAAAGGGGAGGTCCCCAAAGTGGACATACACTGTTCTAAAACACTCCAACTCTGCTTAGGAAGGTCTGGCCCAGATGAGAAGGTCTGGCCCAGTAACCACGAGAATAGGCCAGGACCATCTGTATGCACTTGGAAGCTCTAATAAAGAACAGAAGAAAATACTGTGGCTTCCCAGGGGAATATATGGCCACACATACTTACACATTAGCACATGCCCACCTGTTGTAATCCTATCCCCCGGATGGTGCAGAGAAGTGAGACCCAGGTCATTCCCTACTTCGCAATGGGTATCTAAAGCTTTACTTGAAAACCTCTGACTATTCCAATAAGAAACACAACTGAAAAGCATCCTGTGGAAGAAATGAAACCAAGTTCAGTCCTTGCCACCAAAAGCCCTACAGCCTTCTCTTCTACTAGTTGATTATACGTGGTACTGGGGAAAATCAAAGCAGGAATTAAGTGGCTAAAGCGGGGGTGGATGAGGCAGCACGGGAACAGGCGATAAGAGCCCAGATTGAGTCAGACAAACATGAAGCCTGTCTGCAGGCTCAGGGCCTGGATCCTTCTGCATCCTGCTAAAAGCGAATGAGCAAGGAGAACAGCTCTGTCTGCTACAGCTGGCCCGAGTTCTGTGCCTCTCAATTACCTGTGGTAATTAGGAGTGAAGGAGAGCATGCATAGCTTAACTTCCCAGCTAATCCCCAATCTCTGTTTGAGCCCAGAGTTTAATCCTTTCCTTCTGGGAAACTTTGCT